GATTTCTTTTCTCACTGTTTTAATTGCTCATTACTTTAAAAATTGGGTAAACTGTAAACCTTTAGGCTTTCTTGCTTTTATATTAACCTTTATTTTCAAATAAAAGAATTTCCCCATATATCCTATATCCATACTCCACCTGTCTTTAAGATTTTACTGTATTTCTTTATATTATTTCTCTCTATACACACACGCACACACACACACATCTCCCTACAGATAATAAATGTATGTATATGTATAGACACACAGGCTCACTGTTTTTTCTGAACCATTGGAGAATATGTTGCCTATATTATGTTCCTTCACTCTTTAATACGTTAGTGTACATTTCCTGAGACTGAATATTCTCCTATGTATGCAGTTAGCTAGCAAATTCATGATGCTGCTATATACTATTAACTAATCTATCATCCATATTCTAATAATGTCCTTAATAGCACTCCCCCCAGCCCTGTACCTCCTATATCAGGAAATTGCATTTTGTATCTCATGTGGTTTTAATCTGGAATAGTTCCTCAACTAATTTTTTTCATACCACTGACATTTTAAGACTAAAGGTCCTTTATTACTTTTTTTAAAAAGTTCCCAAACCAATATAAATGAGAGACTATTATGAGTTATTTTAAACTTAAATGACATTGCTTATATAGCATTTTTTAATGTAAACTTTTTATTGAAGTGTAACAGAGGAAGAGCACAAATTGCATGTGTTGCCTGGAGAATTTTCACAAAATAAACACAACTGTGTAATTGGTACCCAGAATAAGAAACAACTCCAGAAACCCCCATCTCCATCATAGTCTTTTCTAGTCATTAAATCACTATTTTCGTTGATTTATTTCACTTGCTTTTGAACTTCAATAAATGAAATCATGCCAATTATGTATTCCGTAAGGTCTAGCTTCTTTTCGTTAACATTATAATGAAATTTATCCATGTTTTGGCATATAGTGGTAGTTTATTTCACTGTAACAAGAATGGATTATTTCAGATCCACTTTGATATTTATGCATATTTGGATGAATTATGCAAGTGTATTTTGAGCTTTTCTGATTTTCTGGCTTTATTGCATATTTGATTCCTATACTGCGTCAGTGTTTCAGTTTTGAGTACCAGAGAGTTTTGAAGGATTTTTTGAAGTAGTTTATGTTGGCTCATTTCATACTTACCTAAGAGTCCCTAGACAGTGCTGTTGTTCTGACATGTGGATATTGTGTTTTTGAGGGGTTTATTGCTGGCTTATAAAGTAGCGATAGTGATTTTCATTTAAATCAGCTGTCAAATTCGTATAACTATATTTTTCTCCTTTTAGCCCTGGTTTCCTGAGGTTTGTGAGGGTTTTATGTGGCATGTCTTCAGATGAAAGGAAAGCATTCTTGCAGTTTACCACTGGATGTTCAACTCTACCCCCAGGGGGACTGGCTAACCTGCATCCCAGACTCACCGTTGTACGCAAGGTACAAACTCTAGCTAATGAGAACCCAATTAGTTACTTAAGGATTGAAAAAAGAAATATTTAAAGGCATGGTCTTCTGTTATTTTCAATTTTCTGTCTGTAGGTTGATGCTACTGATGCAAGCTACCCATCAGTGAATACATGCGTCCATTATCTAAAGTTGCCTGAATATTCTTCAGAGGAAATCATGAGAGAGCGCCTGCTAGCTGCTACAATGGAAAAAGGCTTTCATCTCAATTGAGCTTTGAAGTGCAATGGGAGATACCAGAGACTTTAAAAATACTAGTGAAGCCTCTTGTGTTTGTGTGAAGAGAAGTACATGATCCTCCACGCTAATGACACTTGCCTTTTTTTCCACCGTTAAGGCTTTAAAAACATGTGGAATAAGTTCGTTAGCTGCTAATGACAAAACAAATCCTTTAACTACCCAGCCAGCAAGTATATAGCACAGGACACTGTGTTGCTGCAAGGGCTTATGTGACTGGAATAAGGTGGTCCTACTTGACTGTTCCAAAGAGCAGCTTCTGAAATCTTCAGTGTTCACTGGTAAATTTCTAACAGTGTATTTGTGTAAAGTTTGTCATTTCATACTTCGTACACTACAGTTGCCATCACTGATCCCTGTTTTGCTGGCTTTTAAGCTACTTGGTCAAAAATCCTGCTTCCTTAAAACATAGAGAGTTAATGAGCATCTCAAGCTTTTTTTTTTTTTTTTAATTCCTTTTTAATGATGCCTGCACTATTAGAGTATTCTAGTGTTCTCTCTTTGTTTGGCATATAATCATGCACAAGCTTTTATTTCTTTGAGGTGGGAGTATATTTTTATTTCCTAAATGCCATACTATAAAGATCAAATTCTTAAGTGTGTCTGTGCAGTTCAAAAATGAAGGTATATCAAGGGGAAAAAACAAACAGAAACACTGGTCTAGATGCCAGGCACACTTAAAGTGAGTTTTACTTTTGGTTGTATTTTCTTTGTATATTATAAACATTTATTTAACTTGTTGGAGTTTGAAGTAAAAATTTTCCAAAATGTATGCTCAGTAATAATCATTAAAATGTTTGCAGCGTATAAAACTGTGTCATGTGACTATTTCACTACAACCACCAGACCTGAGAGCTTAACCACTTTTTATTTTGAATCGAGATTTAGTTTTTTTGAAATTACTACATGAAGAAATGTATTTTCTATAGTAAATACACTTACTGAAACTGGAAAGCTAGAAATATGTTCACGTGCTTAATAAGTGATCCAACTGTTGTGTTCTGTCTTAAAGTATTCTTCAGCTAAAAATGGCCAATTTATTTTTAACTTTTTAAAATACCAGATCTGCTACTTACCATTGTATCTGCAGGGATGTTTAAATCTAAGGTACAAGAATGCCTGTTGAATGTTGTGTTAGTGTGAAGAAACCACCAGGATACTGCTATTTTCTGGGTTTAAAGAAGGAGCTCTATTTCCATTTTCCAAGCTCCTCTGATTTATCACATCTGTGCATTTAGGTGAAAAAAATGTTGCTAGGCTTCATTTAGCCAAACGGCTTTTTTAGGAGTGAAAAGTGGTTTTTGGAATTGCCCATTTTTTACCTGTTTGAAAGGTATGTTCTCTTTCTGCATTAGAAAAGAGATCTCCCACTGTAGTCAGTCATTTGAGTGCTGTTTTTATTCTCTGAAAGAGGATGTTGTAACTATGCAATCAGAGGCAGCATTTAAATAATTTACCATATTGTTAGCTTCACAGTTCTCTGTGAGAATTAAAGTTAAAAATAAAACATAATAGCAATATTTAAATGTATGACCTATGCTTTAATCCAAAAAGTAGTGGCGGTGATCATCTCAATAATGTTGTGGACTCATGACTAAAACTTTATACTATTGTTAGAATTAAAATCCAGTATATGTGTGTAGCATTGCCATAATTTGAGCCTCTAAAATGTCTGTCAGTAGCCAGCTTTTTCCAAGACTAGCCTAGCATAGAAGTCAGCTAACTATGGCCTGCAGCATTGTTTTTGTATAGCCCATGAGTTAAACATGGTTTTAAATTTTTTAAGTGGGGGAAAAAATAAACATTTTATGCGAAAATTTTATGAAATTCAAATTTCAGTTTCCATAAATAAAGTTTTATTGGAACACAGCCATGCTTATTTATTTATGTATTATCTATGGCTGCTTTTGCACTACAATGGCACAACAGAGACCATATGGCTCAGAAAGCCTAAAATATTTACTATCTGGCCCTTAGTACAAAAGTTTGCTGAATCCTGGGCTAGCACACTGCTACAGCAGATAAAATAGATGAGTCTTATAAAATTAGTAACTGTTTGAAATGTCAAGAGTCTTCCTGCAGAAAGAAGAGTCTAAGGACAAGGTAAAGCTGACCACCAACCTGAGACATAATTTCATGAATGTGAAAATTACTGAATGTAGTCACAGTTCAGCAATTAATCTGAAGTGAGATGATGATGCAGCCTGTAAGAATAGTCACATTACAGTTCACTTTCATGAGTCAAGTGCAATGAGACATCTACTGGGGTCTCCATATACACTAGGTACTTGAGTATTTTTTCTTGTAGTATCTACCTAGTATGTTTTTTAAATTGTTATTCTCTCAAGGTACTAAAATCTGTGCCAGGATGTTATTTAAGTGCTATTTTGGGTGTGACCCAAAAATTAATTTTGTTCACTCCCTAGTTACTTCTGGTGTACCAGTTTCAGCAGTTACCTCAGCGTGCTACTGATTCAATGCCTACCAACTAGGCCAGTGTTTCCCAACTAATATGTCTCCGAAAGACCTCTATAGCACTTTGATCTAGGTTGGGCTTTCCCCAGACCTTGGCAATTTAATGCAAAGTACCACTGGTCCCGAAGGTCAGAGCGTTTACTCTGCATTCTGAGTGAGTCCGTACAACTCAGGTCTGCTTTTGAAGTCTGTTATTGACTTGATAATGGGTCTTTACAGATGTAAACTTCGAAATATATAAACAGATAAAGAATTTAAACAAAATCCCCCCCTCCACACGAGAGGAAAAAATCAAACTGTACTGAATGAATTATTAGTGCCTACAATGTTCATTTATGTTCTTTTGTAGCAGCGTCTAGTAGATGAAAGAGCTCTTGGAATTCCATTGGATGGCACAGTATCTTCATATACCAAGACTGTATTTCTCTTTCCTCCATTGCACCTATACCCCTATCCCTACATGCACATAAACATGTTTTTTGTTGTTGTTGTTTTATACCTAAGACAGTTCTGTGTGTTCTGTTGAATGAGCAGCAAAAGCCTATAGAAAGGTTGGGGCCTGGGGATTTGGGCATTGCTCTTTTATAGCAACGTAGCCGTTTTCTTTGCTTCAACACATTCTAAGAGAAGGGTTGAAGGAATAAGTTAGGGAGAGGTGAAAAGATTCATTTCATACCAACCTGAACAGGGATGCACTTTTGCATTCTATCTTTAAATTTTGAACTAAAGTAAATTTCATTTACAGTTCACTAATAAGACAAACCCTTTATAATATGGCATAAAGAATACTTGTAAGGGCTCTTTTTTCTTTCATAATTGAGATTTTATTCATTGTTTTGAGGAAAAGTACACAGGCATTTCAATTTGTACACAATTCTTAACATAGGTACCAAAAATGTAAAGTCACACAGTTGTGATTCTTTTCTAAACAGCTATTCCAGTTCCTCTCCAGCTTAAAATCTGGAGGCTAATTTTCCTTAGAGTATCAATTACCAATATCTTCAAATGTTGATCCACTGTTACATCGAAGTCCCACTAATTCACAATTTAACATCATCTGCACTACATAATCAAAATTTCAATCTTTCACAGCATACTAACAAAGTTACTAGGAAAACTGGTCTGTCACACCACACCAAAGATGTTACAGAGTGAACGGAATTCTGAGAGGGAGAGCAGAGAGCAAGGAGTGGTTTTCTTTAGGAAACATTCTATCAAAAATAGGGGAATAGAAGTAATTTAAAATGTTCAAGACTACTAAATGCGCAACTGACTCCAAATTGCCGCGTACTACACTTTGTACCATAGGATATAAAAAGTACCCCATCTATGGAATGTTAAGCTGACACCCAAAACCAAGCCTCCCACATTCAATATCCAACTGTTTTCTGGTTGTACCAAAAAATAAACCAGCAAATGAATTGACTTCTTTAAAAAAAATTTACACTTGAAAAAAATGAATGGAATGAGGGAGTTCCCACCTTTAAAATGTTTCTAGAGCTACTAAAAAACTTGCATTTACAAAATAGTTGATAAAAATATTCCTCTGAATTGTACAAGAAGGGAGACGGAGTGCTGATGAGACAGGGTATGCTGTTCACCAGACGTGGCTTCTTTCCATCCGAGGCTGGACTCATCTTCTTTTTAGTCTCTCTGTTTTCCACAGGTAGATTTCCTTCGGGTTCCTGGTCAGCCACTTTGGCCTGTTTTCCCTTTGCTCCCCTTTTCCTTTTTGTGTGCACTTTTTTGTTCTGCAGGGTTAGCTTTTCTTGCCACCTTTTTTTGGCTTCATTTCTTTTGCAGGAGCAGGTTTAGCTGACAACCACTCCGATCCCCTCTTTAGCTCCTCCTACGCTGCCCTCTTGGCAGAGCTGGTGCGCGCTGGGTGCCCGAGGGCCGTGGTGCGCCCAGAGGTAAGGCCTCCCTTTCAGTGTTTAACCATTTATTATTTGGTGGTAACATACTCTAGTTAATTACATGATGGCACTGTACCTGCCAAGTGCACATAAAATGGATCACATGCTTTTAGAGACTGGCAAATAAAATTTAATTCTGACATTTTCGTTAGACACGATATAGTAAAATTTTGACTTAAGACTTTTTTAAAAATGTCATTTTTTAATTACAGTACTTCCAAGTGTACAGCATAGTAGTTAGACAATCATTCAGAAGACAAAGTGCTTTGTGTGTTTGTCATTACACTTTTATTGGCTCATAAAGAGCTGCCATACTGACTTCCCACCTCATGCTGCTATTCCTGAATTTAATTTGCAAAGGGAAGTAGAGACCAAAAACTTTATTTAACCAAATTTAAACAAGTGAGGGGGAAAATGCTTATGGTTAGAAAATAAAACCTCTCTCTCAAGAGAAAAGCTTTCTTTGTACATCATATTTTAAAATACAGTTTTGTTTTCCATTTAGGAACATGAGAAACACCTATACAATGTCTTTGGAAGGATGCCCCATTTGCAATATGTACTTTTCCAGATTCTCTGGGCTACAGATGCTAGGAGGTATTCCGTGTTCTCCTTTCTTGTGCCGATGAAGCCTGGCAGAACCTTCCATTGTTCAGCTTTCTGACATCTTATCAAGAATTAGTAGAGGGGCAAGAATTCTTGCCCGATTTGTTTCTACAATGCAGCCATTTAACACCATCTCATCCAAAATGACATGTACTTTATCCAAATTAAACATAATCTAGGGTCATATTAAGGAAATTAGTTTTAGAGTTAGAAAAATGTTAAGTAATAACTTAGGACTCAGTCTGGAATTTTTCAGTGTAAATTAGTCTAAGCATGAAGGTTTTTGTTTTGTTTTATTTACAGGGTTCTTGAAATAAAATTGGCGTCCGTATTAATGATGTACACATACACACCTAATTTCACTGTGGTGAGGCTAACTAGACAATAGGCATAGAAATGGAACAGCTAGTGACACCTTTTAGCCAGGGGAGAAGGAACCCACTAACAGCTGGAGAACATAGCAAGTGGCATTTGGCAAGAGTGTGACTTGGCCTCAAGGACAGTGTCGGCTTCCCAGACATTAACGACAGTAATAGCCACGATTTACTGAATACACATTATGTTCCATGTGTTGTGTTGACTGTTTTACATGTTATTTCAGTCTTCTCTACAGTTCGATGATGTATATTCTACATTCCCTCATTTTACACAGGAGCAAACACGCTCAAAGCCGTTGTCTAAGGTCACATAGCTAGTAATCTCCACAGCTGGACCTTCAGCCCAAAGTCTGGCCTTGCCTGCTCTGCTTCCAGATTTCTCAGGAGGGGCCTGAGGCGACTGAGTGTAGCCCTCACTCAGCCCTCAAACCTCCACCCAGTAACAAATGCCTTTACAGCCTTGCATCTTAAGCTATCTTCTATGTGAGACAGGCTGAAGAAAAAAGAACCATGAGGAGAAATGATGAGGGCAAGGCAATGATGACTCAATTCCCAAGTAGATAAAAATTCTGAATTTCAGGACAGTACTTAAAAATGGACAGTTCTACAAATACTCATTTGGTAATTATGGGGCCACTTTAGTTTACTGATGTTCTTCCTGGAAGGTTAGTATAGGGCAAGGGGAAGGAGAAAGAATTGTTCAACTATGATGTCTACCTAATTAGAGCCAAATTCTCCCTCCAGGAGACCCTTCATTTGAGTACATAACTTTCCTTTTGTGAAACTGGAATGAGGTGATGACCATGGTTGAATGTTTATGAATTCTAAATTACCATCTCTATTTAAAGAGCATTATCCTGGTCCATTAAAATAAAACAAACAGCTGACTGACTATTTCAAATAGACAAACTTCATTCAACAAATGAGTGATTAAATGCACTTAGAGGGTTCATAATCAAATAGTAAATCTTTGTAAAATGAATCATTACCATCTGATTTTTTTTTCAGTAATTCTAGATGTTCACGTCTATATTGTATATGTTTAGTGAAGTACATCTATAGACAATGAGACAACCCTGTGAATGACTTAAGTTTCTATTAGGCTTTGCGGTCATAGCTCATTAAGCTCTGTGCAAACAGCCCTCCAGCAGAATAAACTTTTTCAGAAGCCCATGGGAACTGTCCTTAAGTGACCCAGAAAAAAAAGCCTTTACTCTGATATACCTATTAATAAGATCTTCCAATTATATAGATGATTGCTTTGTCCATGGCCAAACTGGGACTGAAACATTAGGCCCCTGACTCAATCCTGCTCACCAGACCCAGAAGCCAGAATTGAGAAGACGAGACAAAGCAGGAATGATAGCCAGGTACAAAGAAAGGCACAGTTGGGCAGCACAGGTGGCCGCGTGTGAAACGGCCTGCAGAACCCCCCGCTGGATTCACTAAGGGCAAGGAAAACCTTAGTGCCTTTGAGAATGTCCACTCATCCAAGATAATTTTCTTTGAGACAGGAGGAGATCTAATTTTAATCTATTTGAATTGGTTCAGGGATCAAGCTGCTCTGAAGACTTCCATCTTTGGCAAGTAGATGACCAGCAATTCAGATGTCCCCTTGAGCAACTGGCCAACTGTTTTGAAATTCAGATTAGAATTTACTGCTGAATCATATCAACCACTGACATCCTCGCACTGCAAGGGCAAGGTTCTTCGGCTGGCCTGAATTTCCCAACATCCTGGAAACATGAGTTGCTCAGTGAGGTCATTTTATACTGTGGGCATGTGACTGCCTGTCTATCTGAGTATCTGGCTCAAACCACTAATAATCATGCAGCTTTCTGGCAGCACATGGGGAAACCACAGGCCAAATCCAATGTGAGGCAAAAGCCTGAAAGCTGATTTCTCCCTGGAATCATGTGACTCCTTTAAAATAAGGATCCAGCTGTTGGTCACATCTTGATTTGGTTTATGAGCAACTAGTGCACACTGGTGAAGCCAAGAGTAATGGCATTTGGGCTATATACCAGGTGAGCAGGGACCAAAAAAATGCCCTATATGCCAAGCCCTGCGGCAACAAGTGGGCACACACACTTCAACCCTGACAGGAACAGTACAAAGCAAGAAAGGCCTAGGCTGCTGATGTATTATGGGGTGAGCTGAGAATGACTGTTTCAAGAAGATCCTACCTTCAGCCTATACTGAACTTGACTGACTTCATGTCCTTGAGGCAATGTTTCCCTTCATAGGCACCCTAAGGTTGGAGCTGATATGAACTGCAAACAGCCTCCCAAAGAGCAGATTCATAAAGCTCCATTTTCTCCTTACCCTGAAACCTAGAAGCCTTTCTGAATTTCTGTAATGTAGATTGGAGTGGAACATCTTGAGGCACCACTAATACTAGTGCCACTTGTAATCAATTTTTTAATTAAAGTGATTGAACTGTTTATGGTTTCTACATTGAAATTTTGACCTCTGATCGTAAAACACTTTTTCAACATGGTATTTTTACACCACTGTGGTGGCCTAATTACCCTTTAATAAGAGAAACAGCAGCATACATTCAAATGGGACCTCAGAAGCAATTCCAAGGCAGAGCTCAGTCTAGAAACTGAAATGTCTAACTAGATTTTGGTCTCAATCCTTTGTCTTATTTCCCCCCCTTTTTTTAAAGATCCTAGCTAAGCAAAGTTCTTTAATCTACCTTCATAAAGGTAGGAAAAAACTTGCTCTCATTGTTTATACTTTAATTCGATTTCCCACGAAATTAGATAAGCTGCAAAAGGCCATTGTGTTCACAAACCGCACAGAAAATCAACTACTACTGTGTAGATTATTGTTATAAAGATTCTGCACAGTCCTGGATACACTCCTTGTAATATCGTCTTCTGTTCACTTACAGGCTTAGTATTCTCTCGTTAATTAGGCCACTGAACAGGGATGTAACTTTTTTTTTTTTTTAAAGTAGGTTTTCCTTAAAGACCCATTCCTATTCCAAGAGCAACAAAACATCCAGGTGTAATTTTTTTAAAGTTTATATAAGCTTATGTAAAATTACCCAGATACGAAAGTCAGTGCTGGGTCAAGTAAGCCTGTCATTTCTCTTGCATTTTTCCTAATTGTTGCTTCTCATGACTTGCTGTCACTATGGCTGAGTAAAACAGAACCCAGAAGCAGGGAACAGAAGGAGTGGGGTAAGGCAGAGGGACAGGAGGAACAGCAGCAGATGGACATGGCACCTAAAGGACTCAACGCATTTAAAGGAAATAGATGGCTAAGGCTAGTGAGAGCAATAAAAACAAAGCCTAGAAGGCAGCACTGTTTAATCTGGAATATTCAATCCCTTTCCCAGTGGAAGGCGGTTTCTCCTGGGGACTGCTCATAATGCTGAGACTCGTCACTATGACAGCTCTGATGAGAAAACCCTGCTGGAGAGGGTCCTGGCCCTCGGCCCAGTGCCTGCCCTTCCTAAGCCTGCGCGGGCTGCACACACTCCCTCAAGCCCAGAGCCCAGCACTCACCCCTTCCAGTCCTGCTGTCAATTTAAGTATTTTCAAGAGGAAGAGATGTTTAGCAGTCTCTGAATTTGAGTCCCACTTTTGGAGAGCGTGCTCTTATCAAGACATTCAGAAACTCTCCAGATTTTCCTTCATTTCTGACTCCTCCAACCAAAGACTAGTGTTTCTCTAAAACGTCTTCCCGAATTCAGGAAAAAGCTCTGACAACACCAAGGCAGCACGACAGGCACTTTAAAGTGTTTTGTTAGTGACTAAATTGCCACAGTCTACTCCAAACGATGATGGATTTAAAAAAATGTATCTAATTTATAGCCCTAGAGTCAAGGGCCCTGGAAACCCTGGAAACCCAGAATACCAGCTCTGCCCCAAAGTAGCTCTGTGGATTGGGGCACATGTCACAGAACCTCTCAGGAGGACCTCAGCCTCTTCATCTAAAAAGTGAGGGCTTAACATGATGATTCTGAAGTTTTCTTCCAACTCCAAAGTACTCAAGTCCTCTGACTAAAAGTAACCTTCAGGGAGAGGGGAGCCAGTTTACTCCTGTCTGATATTATCAAGCCATTCCTGATGCAGGCTCCATCATGCCTTAAAAGAAATCCTTTTGTAATGACTTAATTACTGCAACTTTCTGAGAGAACGCTGAGAAAACTTCAGTTCATTTAGAAGCTGCTGCTTCAGTGCAGAATGGCTTCCCTGGGGGATTTCCTTGTTCTTCTTGCTAGTATTTCCATAGCCTCTAGTTGAACAAGTACTTTCGTGATTTCTCATTAAGTTGGACTGAAATTACCTCCTATTTGGAGGAGCCCTATTCTGGTTTCTGGACCTCTAAAGGAGTTTGGGATTTTAGGACGGTAATGAAGGAATGTGATGCCCACTGCGGGCAGTGATGAGGGCCTGACTGGTGCCTTCATTCCTCCAGGGAGCCCCATGGTCGGTAACTACCTGGGTCACAGCCGGTGCAAAGAGGACAGAGACCCTTCCTCCCCCCACCATCACCTGCCATAAAGAGGGCATGAACCCATACGAGCTTTAGGCTCTAGAATTAATTCCTCAGGCTTTTGGGCTTTAAGGACTTGTAAAATAAAAGCATGAATGTTCTAAAGCTTTTTCTTTAGTTATTTTTGAATTAAAACATTCTGGATTCTAGGCATACCCTATATTTGGGGGATGGGGCACAAAATATAAGCCTGCTCCCTGCTTTTCTCCCCATTTGTGTGTGGGGGTTACCATAGTTACCATCCCAGTGCTATCATCCCCTGCCCCCAGTCCTGGGCTGGGGATGGGGGAGACACCTACACAGGCCCTAGCAGCAGGTTCTGGGATGTCTGGCCAACCAGTAAATTCTGGGGCCCAGGTAGCTGGAGGATGGCCAAGAAGTGGAGTAGGGGCCCTGAAGGCTCTCGGTCAGCAACCTCACCCCATGGAAAGGGATGCTGCTGAAGGAGAGCTAGAGTGGGGGCCCAAGAAAAGGACCCTAGTTTTCTAGGTCCAAAGGCAGTACAGCTGTATTTCATTCTAGCTAAAAGCAAGCAAGTCCTTAAGCCTCTTCAAAGTACCAAATACCAAAAAAGCTGTTAAGGTTTTCTGAACTTTCACACATTCAGTAAGTGTGCACAAACTGAAGAGTTGGACATCTCCCACACAGCGCCGCGCACTGGTGCTGTCCCCTGACTGGTTAGCAGAAGGGGGTAGAGACAGCTCCTTTGAATTATAAATTGTCTGAAGAATGCAGCAAACCTGGTGCTCCAGGGTGGTGCACATTTTGGGAAACTCATCAGTTGGTTCCTAGAAACCATCTTTTTCTTTAAATTTTATTTTTTAAATTATAACTTCTTTTATTGACCTAAAAACCATCTTAACTTATGGAATTTGAGGTCTTAAATAAGTCTACCAAAGTATGTAATTGGGCACACTTTCCTTATAGAAGCAGGGCCTCTTGGATCCTCAGGGATCATTTCAGCCCCGTGCGTGGAGCGGATGTGAAGAGTGCACAGGAGTTTACTCACGGCACGTGAATGGTGTGCTTGGTCCCAAGACTGCAGTCTGCCCCACCAGGCATGACTGCAATAGAGTTTCCACTTAGCAGAAGAGTTTTCAACGAATCAGAATTTCTGTCCTGATTTTTGTGCCTAGGTTGTTCCCCCATCCCCTTAAAAAACAAACAAATGTCTATATTGATTTCAGGGAGAGGAAGGGAAGGAAAGAGAAATATCAGTGTTGGGAGGGAGTCATTGCACGCCCCCTGCTGGAGATTAAGCTGGCAACCTGGGCATGTGCCCTGACGGGGAATCGAACTGTGATCTCCTGGATAATAGGTTGATGCTCAACCACTAAGCCACGCCGGCTGGGCTAGGATTTTTCTTTTTAAAAATCCCACCTGCCTTGCCCTATAAAGTAGAACAAGCCCATACTAAGGAGAAAGGTAAATGCTGCATTTTATTTCTCAAACTCTAAACATGCAGACTCTGGAAAACTGCCCCATTCTTAAGAGGCTTCAGGGTGGTCAAGCTTCTGGAAAAAAAAGGCTGCAAGTAAAAGACTTTCTGGGACTTCCCTGAGGCTCTGACTTCCATCCTTCTAGTGCTCCACCAAAACTGAGTCTAAATCGTGTGTGTTCCGCGCAGGCTGGCAGGAAGGCTTCCTTAAGCCTGAGCATACACAAAGATTATGTGCTCTTGAGTGCTGGTGAGCCATCTCCAGTTTGTAATGATATCAGTTGTCTGTTTTCAACCCTTCAAGGCCTAAGGAAGTTTTCCTGGCACAAAAGACCTCAGCAGTGTTAACTACTCCAGCAGGTTCCTGGCTACAGTGACCAGAGCAGTGATGTGGACCGTCTGTGGCTCTGCACACAGAGGGGAAGCAGGATGCACCTCTAAAAGGCCCCCAGGTCTTCCTGCTATGAAATGTGCGTAGAGGTGCTCCCTGCACATGTGATAGTTAAAAAGAACTGCGTATGAGGCAGAGGAGAGTCGTGGGTTTTTAATTTGATTTTTTTTTCCAGATGGCTGAGGGTGAAAACCCTTTAAGAACGTCAATAGAGAGGTGCCCCAGGCCCTGCCTGGCCGGCCGCCTGCTCCACTTTCAGACGATTGGAGGTTCCCGTGAAATGATACCTCGAGCAAAGACATACACTCCCAGCAACAGAGATTCAGTTCCCTTTCCTAAAAGATGTAAAATTCCTAATCTGACAGATGGATATACCTAAGTAATTCCTTAGGATAGAAAATAAATAAGTTGGTCAGAGAGGAAGGGAAGGCAAAAAGGAAAGGAAAGTGAGAGGGAAAGATGCAAATTGTATGCCTCGGTATGGAAATTAAATTCAAACAAGAATGCTGGAGCTCACTACATGGACCTGTGCCATACACCAGAGAGACACAAAGACAAACCCATCTCTACTTCTAATAAGCATCTAGTCAATATATAAGACACACCAACACAACTAGTCCAACTGCACTACATATCCTCTTACATCTGATTGACTTTAATTCTCTGAATATCTAAACTTGTAAGACTCTCCCCTCCTGTTCCGGGTGTAAAGTAACTCAGCTCAGTTACCTAGGGTCACGGCAACATCAAATATTAAGGCTCAGAGGGTTTTAAGGTTCTTCTAGTCTAATTCTATCATTCTGAGATGAGAGCTTGTGTGTCTTGGCGGCAGGACCAAAAGCGGAACTTGGGTTCTGTACTCCCAGGGAAGTCTATCAGCTTTTGATATCTTCCTGATGACTTTTTAACTCAAAGGCAATTTCTCATTCCCCTGTACAAAGAGGAAGAGATTTGCTCTGAACTGCTTTAAAGGGCTTAGTTAAAATGGAACGTTACATGCTGATATACAGCCCGGTCTTGGCTCTCCTAGGTCAAAGGGGTTAGAGATTTAGGTCACCTCACCATTGGAGGGCACTCAGAATTTCACAGTTAATTTAAAGAGGCTTCCAGCACGGCCAGGCGTGGCTCAGCAGTTGAGCACTGACCTAGGATCCAGGAGATCAAGGTTTGATTCCCAGTGAGGGAACATGCCCCGGTTGCAGGCTCGATCCCCAGTAGGGAGCGTGCAGGAGGCAGCCGATCAGTGACAACTCTCTCATCATTGATGCTTCTATCTCTCTCTCCCCCTCTCCCTTCCTCTCTCTAAAATCAATAAAATATATATTTTAAAAAAAGAGGCTTGTAAATGAAGCTTATCAACATGATGACATTTTCTATCAGTAGTAAAAGGTAAATGACCATTTCTCCAGAATATCCTGACTCTGGTCTAAATATATGTATATTTACATATATAAACATATTATAATTAATATATATTTGTTATAATTAATGTTACTATTTCAGATTCAAGCCTAATTATTTCTCAAAGGACTTATTTATTGCTTTCAAGTAGTAAGCAAGTTTTTGAAGAAAAATTAACTGAGAAGTCAACTTCCTTCCAGAGCACTCACACAACACCCCGAGGGCTCCTGCCAGTCTGCAGGCCTGTATGCATATTCTAAGCAAATCTCGCTTGTTGTTGGGGCCCTTGGCTACTTTGATTTAAAAGGGAGAAGAGAAGAAAATGAGAGCATTCTCTGCTATTAAAGGAAATGAATATAAGCCAGGTTTATGTTCCTGGTTTTTCATCCCTGAAGGCCTTATTCTGATCCTGTGGAGAATTTCTGGAGATTTATACCTGGAGCCATGAAAATCCATTCTCTCTACACACACCAAGCACTTTCTGCCTGCGTTGTTTAAATTCTATAAAGGTCTATCCCATATACTTAAAAAAACTTAAATTAATATATAACGGTTATTATTAAGTACTTTCATAGAATCGCCCTGTTTGAAACACACAAAAATCTTAAGAATTGTCTTTGCAACAGGCGGGTGTTTCTGCCAAGCACCTGTGCCTCTGGTGTCGTGCTGAGTTGGGGATGACTGCACCCTAGATTCTCGATGCTGCTGAATGGCCTTCCTGCCCCATGGCACTTACCTGGTAAAGCCTAACCTGTGCCTTGCCAAGTGCTGTGGAGAGCTTGGAGGCTTTGAAAAAGGATACGTCTAATTCACTCTGGAAGAGAAAAGAGCACAGGGTGAGGAGGAGACGCGGCCCGAGGCATTTCATGGAGTTAGCTCTGGCCACACGCCTGGGAGCAGGGGGCAGAAGCTGCTCTGTGCGCGGGAGCTCGAGGGCGCGAAGGCCCTGAGTTTGGGATTGTGATTTAAAAAAAAATAGGCTGCAGTTTAGAGGAATTTTATAGGCCAGAACAGTCTCCTTTAGAATGTAGAGGGAATAAATCCACTCAGCCTCTACAGATGACAGGCAATTTCTGACAGGTTTATCAAAAACCTTCATAAAGTGGATACCCTTTGAATCTATCAATTTTACTCCTGTTTATCCTACGGAGATAATTAGGTAATGGCACAACAATGTGTGTTAGGATCTTCAGGGTAATGTTTATAGCAGCAAATTACTGAAAATGAGGGGGACCAGTTAAAAATATGATAGCAGATCCAGAAATGATGATGTAGATATATAAGTACTGACATATTATTGACTAAAAAAGCAAGTTATAAAATGATACATCCAGTATTATCCCCTGTATATATGTATACATAGAGATATAGATACAGTTAGATAGAGACATATATAAAACCTGAAAGGAAATGTACCTAACAGTACGTATCAATAAGTGATGGGCTTACTGATGACCTTCTCCCCTTTCCTTTTCTTTGTATGTATTTTTAATTGTTTTCAATGAATACATAGACATTCATAGAGGGAGAAAAAAAGCAAACAGTTAAATTCATATTTGAAAGGACTTAAGGTTTGCCAAATGCAGTACTGATAACCCTGGTCCCACTTTCTTAACAGCAACAGCAACAGCCCTCAGCTCTTGCAAAGCTGCCTCCTTTAAAGCTAACTGGGTTGGCTTTTTGTTTTGAAACGTGACGCTGAGTTGTTTCTTTCAGCCCAGACAGCAGCATGAGGCTGATCTCCAAATTTAAGATTTGGAAACTCTTAGATTAAAAATAGCCCCAGAAAGAATGTTTAAAACTCAGAAACCTAAAAATAAATTTTAGATGACAAGGCATTCTCCGTGAGTGGGGCAGTTTCTATTTTCTTTGCCATGGTCCTCTTTCTCTTCTTTTTGCTACTACTGTCACCCTAAACCAGGTCCTCCAAGTCCTGTATAATCACCAGGTTTAAATTAAATTCTAATCTTTGCTTCTGTGGTTTATGTGGTCACTGACTCTCCCTAGAATTACAGCCGAATTCAGCAACATGCTATTTACGCTCAGTGACTGAATATGATAATAGTAATTTAAAAAACCTTAGCAAGGATAGTCCTTGCACCTACTCTTTAGTCTCCCAGGTTTAAACCATTGCCAATTTGGGAAATTACATTCTTCCTGGTAGGTGTTCCCTTAAAGTGGCTCATCGTGGCCAGCTCTGAATCACAGACCCTGATTTGCAAGCAGTCTGTATTAACAGCGTGGTCGTCTGGAGACAAGCAGGAGCTAGAGTTATGATGTCCAATATGGTAACCACCAGCCTCATGTGGTGATTTAAATTAATGAAAATGAAATAAAATTAAAACTCCTCATTTACACTAATGAGATTTTAAGTGTCCAAGAGCCACATGTGGCTGGTGCCTTCCGCACTGGATGGCACAGGTACAGAACATTTCTATGACTGCTGAAAAGTTCTTTTGGAAACTGCTGGTCTATGGTGCTCTCTCAAAAACCAATCAATACGAAGATGAATTTTAAAGCCAGCCTCAATGCTTTCTGTGCCCTCAAAGCCAGCCTCTGGAGTGGCCCAACCTCTTGCCCTCTTCCAGGTTTGGAGGACACCAATCCCTTCCTACTTAGATATATTACCGTGCCGCAGGCCACTGGGCAGCCTCCCAGCTGCCAACACCTGCATTAGGAAACCGCTGACGGTAAGCCTCATGCATTAAGCATGCATCAGAATCACCCAGAAAGCTTGTTAAAACAAATTGCTTGGCCCAGAGTTTCTAATTCAATGGACTGAAGTGGGTCTAGAATTTTTATTTCTTACAAGTTACCAGGTGGTGCTTATGTTGCTCGTCTGGGAACCACACGCTGAGAACCTCTGCACTGAGGCAGTGAAGACAGGCCAGTTGATTGTCCCACAAAGGAGTTTGCCAACTGCTACTTCTGGCCTTAGGACGTAGACTGAAGAAATAACTTCTTCACATGAGTTTTGCCCTTAGAAGGCTTTAGTGTATACTCAATATTACTAACTATGGATTTCCACTCACTGTCTCAGGAAGAAGCAGGTTGGAAACAGTTCCTTCCTAATAATTTTATTTAAAAGCAAAATGAGCCCTAGCTGGTTTTGCTCAGTAGTTAGAGTGTCAGCCCAAGGACTGAAGGGTCCTGGGTTCAATTCCGGCCAAGGGCACGTACCTAGGCTACAGGCTCGATCCCTGCATGCCGTAGGCAACCAATCGATGTGTCTCTCTCACATCAATGTTTCTGTCTCGCTCTCTCTCTCTCCCTTCCACTCTCTCTGAAAAGCAATGGAAAAAATATCCTTGGGTAAGGATTAAAAAATAAATAAATAAATAAATAAATAAATAAATAAATAAATAAATAAAAGCAAAATGAAATAAACACACCAACTTTGAAAAATCTGCTTGTGCCACTACTACTTCTCAAGAATGTCTAACCAAGGCAGAGGAAGGCCTACGGTAGCAGAGTAAAACATCTTCACTGAGTCTTTCAAAAGGCTATTGATTTCAAACTAACTACAAAGCTAAAGTCAGCAAGACAGTGTGGTACTGGCTACTGGCACAAGGATAAACATACGGATCACTGGAACAGAACTGAAAGTCCAGAAATAAGCCCTTACATTTATGGTCAACTGATTTTTGACAAGGGTGCCAAGATCATTCAGTGGGGGGGAAAGAATAGTCTTTTCAACAAATGGTGTTGGGACAATTGGATATCCACGGGCAAAAGAATGAAGTGAGAACATACTTCACACCATATACAAAAATTATTCATAATGGATTAAAAACCCAAGTAGGAGCTAAAACTATAAACTCTACAAAAAAAAAGACAGGAGTAAACTTTCATGACCGACCTCAGGTTAGACAAAAGCCTTTTTAGACATGACACCAAAAACATAAGCAACAACAACAAAAAAAAGTAACTGAACTTAATCGAAATAAAACATTATTGTGCTTCAAAAGATACCATCAGGAAAAGGAAAAGGAAACCACTAAATGGGAGAAAATATTTCCAAATCATATCTCATAGAAGATCTGTATTCAGAATATATAAAGAACTCTTACAACCCAACAATAAAAAGGCAATGTAACTGAACAGCCAGCGAAGGATTTGAACAGACATTTCTTCAAAGAAGATATGCAGATGGCCAACAAACACATGAAGAGATGCTCAGCACTGTTATATATCAGTGAAACGCAAATCAAAATCTCAACTGATTGGCCTCTATATCACTTCATCCACTAGGACGGCTATAATAAAAAAGACAGATAATAACAAGTTTTGGTAAGGATGTGGAGAAATTAGAACTTTTATACACTGCTGGTGGGAATTAAAATCATACAGCCATTTTGGAAAAGTTTGGCAGTTCATCAAAATGGTTTTTAAAAAAATGTTTTCAATTGTTCAATGTCATAACATTCAATGTTGTATTAGTTTCAGGTGCACAGCGTAGTGGTTATACATTTATATAACTTACAAAGCGATCACTCTGATAAGTCTAGCACCCACCTGACACCATACATAGTTATTATAATATTATTGACTATATTCCCTATGCTTTATTTTATATCTCCATGGCTATTTTGTAACTACCAATTTGTACTTGTTAATATTTTCATTTTTTTCATGCAGCCCCTAACTCCCCTCCCATCTGGCAAACCTTAGTTTGTTCTCTATCTATAAGGCTGTTTTTGTTTTGTTTGTTCATTTATTTGTTTTTCAGATTCCACATAAAAGTGAAATCATACGGTATTTGTCTTTCTCTGTCTAATTTCACTTAGCATAATACCCTCTACGTCTATATATGTTGTTGCAAATGGTAAGATTTCCTTCTCTTTTATGGCTAAAATGCCATTATATGTGTGCACCACATCTTCTTTATCCAATAGTCTATTGATGGACACTTACGTGGCTTCCATATCTTGGCTATTGTTAAAATGCTGCAATGAACATAGGGGTACATATATCATTTTGAATTACTGTTCTGGATTTCTTTGGATAAATACCCAGAAGTGGGATTGCTGGGTGATATGGGAGTCCTATTTTTAATTTTTTGAGGAACCTCCATACTGTTTTCCATAGTGGCTGCACCAATTCAAAATGGTAAACATGGAGTTACTATGTCACCCAGCAATTCCAGCCTGAGGTATATACCCAAGAGAACTAAAAACATGACTCCACACAAAAATGTGTTCACAAATGTCATAGCAACATTACTCATAACATCCAAAAAGTATAAATAACCCAAGTGCCCATCAACTGATGAATGGATAAACAAAATGTGGTCTATCCATACAGTGAAATATTATTTGGTAACGAAAAGGAAAGAATTACTGATACATGCTACAGCATTAATGAATTTTGAAAATGTTATGCTAAGTTTAAAAAAGCCAGTCACAAAGAACACATATTGTACAATTCTATTCAGGAATACGCATGTCATCCTTGTGCAGGGACAATGCTAATCTTCTCTGTACAAATCTATTTATATAAAATGTCTAGAACAGGTAGACTTATAGACACAGGAAGTACATTACTGATTACCTCGGGCCTGGAGTAGGTGGAGATGGATAATTGGGAGGGAAATGCTAATGGGTATTGTGTTTCTTTTTGGGGTGATGAAATATTCTAAAATTGATTGTGGTGATGGTCACACAACTCTGTCTACCAGATAATGTAAGTACTAAAAACTGTACACTTTAAGAGGGTGAACTGAATAGTATGTAAATTATATTTCAATATAGCTGTTGGTTTTTTTTTTAAATAGGACTGTTGGAAAGGAACTCAGGTATTCCTTAAGAGGAGTTGGTTTTGACATTCAAAGCAAGGATTTGAATGGAAATGATTTAAATTAAAAAGATACCTAGTATTTTACAAGGGGAAGCAGAAAAAAGAAGAGAGCAAATTAGATAGCAGAATCTCTTAATTGAGAACAACATAAAACGTTCTTAGTCTTATAGAAATGGCTCTTTTTAAAGAACAAAGGCACACATAGGTTCAGAGCACTTTGCATGAGCCAGAAGGAAAGGTAAAGAAAATCTGCCATCATCTGAGTTTTAACTTTTACATATTAAAGCTCTGTATCAACACATGTTCTTAATATAGACCCCATTTCTGGGATATAAACCCATTTCTAGTCATTAGACTTACCACTCGGCTGAAGTACTCATCTAAAACTTCCACGAAGTTATGGATGAATTCATAAATTGCCATCTCATTCTAAAATAAAAAAGGAAGAAAGCAATTAGTTTTAGTACGGCCCATGTGTAAATCAGACGGAGCTTCCAGGTATTCGAGCACGTGGGATACAGATGTGAGCAAGGTAGCTTCCCATGGACAAATGTTCAGAATAGTTTTGTAACTCACTTGTTTAAAAGAAGTTTATTAAGAGGAGAAATATAGAAAATCTTAACCTCTAAGGTTTTTTTGGTGTTTTGTTTTAATATTTTATTTTATTATTTATTTTTTCAATTAGAGTTTACATTCAATACTATTTCACACTAGTTTCAGATGTGGCCAGAGAGCACCCACTTTTCTTAGAGTCATTATCAGATGTGTTTGAACTATAGATGATGATTACAGGACTTGGTATTATAAGATTTTTTTTTGAGACTATTACAGATGTCCCCTTTTTAACTCCACTGATCTCCTCCACCCCACATCCATCCCACCCCCAGGCTTCCCCCACACCAATGTCTGTGTCCATGGGTTATGCTTATAAACATATAGGTTCTTTGGTTAATCTCTCCCCACCCACTCCCCCAACCCTGCCTTCATTCTGAGATCCCTCAGTTTGTTCCAAGCTTCTATGTCTCTGGATCCACTTTGTTCATCAGTTTATTTTGTTTATTACATTCCACATGTAAGTGAGATCATGTGGTACTTGTCTTTCTCTGACTGGTTTATTTCACTTAGCATAATACTTTCTAGCTCCCTCCATGCTGTGCCAAAGGCTAAAAGGTCCTTCCTCTTACAGCTGCGTAGTATTCCATGTGTAAATGCCCCACAGCTTTTTTATCCACTCATCTACTGATGGGCACTGGGGCTGTTTCCAGATCTTAGCTATTGTAAATTGCGCTGCTATGAACCTAGGGGTGCATAAGTTCTTTGTGACTGGTGTCTCAGGTTCCTTAGGATATATGCCTAGAAGTGGGATCACTGGGTCAAATGGCAGGTGAATTTTTAATCTTTTATTGTCCATGATGAAGGTAGCTGGACTGAAACTGGACTGAGTTGTGTTTACAATTCTGAGCTCTACTCCCTGACTTCATTACCACCTGGTTGAAGCAATTTTCAGGCTCTTCATGCCATCACTTTTCCATCTGTGAAGAGGGAAAACCACCTCAAACCTTGGTTCACAGATAAAAAAACTGAGGTGTCAAAGTATTTTAGATCTTAAACACCCTTTCAGAGATTCCATGGCCATAGGTGCTGTTGATCTGGGTGAACTTAAATCTGAGGAGACGTAATCACAACACATTCATATTCACAGTTTGCTCTGGCCTCGGATATGTCAGCCTGTTTACTGCCACAACTGACTGGCCTCTACACTCGTCTAAGCTGCCCAACTGTGTCCCATGGAACAAGGGCAGGATACTGGCGTTGCATAGGGTCGAGGAAGGCACTCTGTGGTTTTGTGCTTCTCTACAAGCTACCCATCTAATCCAATAAAAATCCTAGGTATTTCTCTTCCACACAGCTTTCCCGAGCCTTGATAGAAACCAAGATCCTCCAAAAGAGTCAAGATAATTCTTAAGAGAGGCAAGTAGGGAAGAAAATGTCAGTATAAGGAGGAATAAAGACCAGACTGTTATGCTTAATCTTCTCGCATCTTCCATAGGCTCTTTAATGATCTTACCTCGGTGTCATCAACTCCAACCACAATGAAGAGAGCTGCATACTTTCGATATATCAGCTTAAAATCCTTATATTCAATGAAAGAGCACTAAACAAAACACAATTAGAGATTAACTCCTATGGTTGAAAGGGATTTCTTCAAAATGGCATGCATAATTTTTAGGTTCTGATTTGAGTATCTGTCAACACACTCCTAGAAATATACAACTTTAAGATGTTATACATCTTTCTTGGTTGAGCTTCCTCACGATATTCAGGGGACGACTTGGAAGCCTCTCTAGTGGGAGGTGAAGCGGTCTCGGAGCCAAGTCCGAGTGTCCCACGGGCTCCCACCTGCGCCCCTTCTTACTCCCTCTGCGGGCTCTCTGTGGAACTCAGCAGGAAAGCTACTGAATAGTCAGCATTTTAAACGGTCTCCAGTGTGAAAATAACCCAGCATGAAAAGAAGATTTTCTTCTTTCCACCTCTGCTAGGTTTTCGGGAAGCAATTAGAGATTGTTTTATACTATTTAACAATCACTGAAGAATTAAATATATGTAGCATACACATGCAAATATATATATATATATGTATATATACATATATCTTGATTTCTCTTTTCCTAGGCCCATAGAGTCAATGTAGATTCTTTTATAAGTCATTTAAAAATGGCTTTTGTATGACAGATGATATACAAAACCTCTCATTGTAAACAATGCTTGATTACAAAGAATTAATAACTAGCTTACCACCACTGACTTGTGGATAAAACTCCCTGCCCATTTCTCTCTCTCCTACAGTCACTGTACAAGGGTAATGGGAAGGCGCTGGGTGGACAGGAACTGGGGAGCTGACTGGAGGCCCAGCGCGGCCCTTCCTGTGGACTTCGGGTGTGCCGGACCAGACCATGTGGCGTGCTGCACTGGATGGGACGCTCTCGGCGGCCCGGATGCACCTGGGAATGAAGCTGCAAGTTCTGATCATGGAATTTCTTCCATGGCAAAGCAACTTGACAAACTATAAAATGGAGGTGAGGCCTTTATTTAAAATTAGGATAAAGGTAGTAAGTGCAGGGCCATTCTGCAGCTTTTGGTTCACTGTAGAGCCAGGGTGATTTCTACTCAGTTGGATCTTTCAAGGAAACACAACCTATTTGAACAAACTGAGGAACATTTTCAAAGCTTCTCAGGAGTTTCTGACATTAAAAAAAAAAGTATCAAAGCACCTTTGTGGATAAAATAAAGACTAAGGGGAGATTGTGCTACTTTGGTGCCTGATTATGCCAAAAGCCCAGCGGGTTCCTAGTAAAGTCTGAAATAATTTAGAATGCTTAAAAAATATCTCACAGTTTATTCATTCCAAAGCACATATTTAAAAAAATAACCTATCAGTGAAAAGGGTGTTTGAAACTGTGGAGCTGAAATTAGAGGAAGATTCAAGCATGAATGCTTCTGGGGTGTGTCTACCTTTACTTAAAGTGCGCGGCTATGAACACAGCCCTTTAAGAGTTTCTGTTTCCTCTGACAACTACCTGAAGCAGCGTGTGCCATGCAGGCCAAAGCAGTAATTCAAAGAAGACTCTAGATGTGTCCCGAATGGAAAATGGATTTAGAAGACCAGGGAAACACAGTTCCAACGCGTTAACCTCTGAAACACTGATGTAGCTTGATATTTTCTGACTCAGCCTTTCTACCGGGCAGTGAAATGGAGAAGAGGCAAAATGAATGGGTGTTTTAAACAAGCTTTCTGGTTTTGCCTCAGTTTGTTCAGTGATTTCCAATGGATTCAAAGTTTAGGACCTGGATTAAGTAATTATCCAATCAAAGTTCTTTGTAAAAGTAAACTCAGTTTTAAAAAATTTCCTTTTTCTAAAATTATTTTAATGATTTAATTTAACCTTAATTTTGGCAGACTGAATGGATTTGTTGTTTCATTTTTTAACTTCCATTTCTCCTTTCTATATAATAAAAGAACACAGGTTCAAATCAAGTTTGTTTTGAAGTCACTAGTTCCAGTATTATGTTGGTGGCAAATTCACAAAAATAGTAAGCAGGAAAAAACTGTACCCACGTGAAATCATATTAATATCCTCTAGCACAAAGTGGGACGTGAGTGTTCACCTTTATGCTGGTCATCTGATCTTCAACTTTTGGCTTAAAGAAAATCACAGGTACTCCTAAGAGTTCAAAGGGCTGAATTCATATGAACAAAAAAAGAAGGTATGTCTATTAGCAGGAATAAATATGAGCTGCCACTTCCACAGTGCACTGAGACAAATATGCTGACCTAAATATGAACCCAAGACTTTGTTTTCCTTAAAGGGGTGTAAGGAGAGCTATGCTTCAGTCTTCATTTCACTTGTCATTTTCCCTGATAGCTGTTGGAAGAATGTAGTTCAAAATAAACGATGGCCCTTGAGACACAGTAAGAACAGATATGCCACTGCTGAGTTGAATGCACAGATAAAAGAGAGGATCAGAAACTTACTTGTTCATTGGATCGAGAGAGACAGCTCTTTATGACTTCTGCTTCCAGAAGTGTACGCTTATGAATCTCCACATGTTCATAGTACTTAGAAAGTCGTGTCTGCCCCTGTTTATTCACCATGAGGAAAAACTTTATCATTTTTCTTCCTGGCCAGTACTTCTCCAAATACGGGTCAAAAGTTATGGCAAGGGAGGCTTGTAACTAGAACCTGAGGAGGAAAGAACAGAAAGGTGAGATCAATTTTCTTTTTTTCTTTTTTAAAAATATATCTTCATTGATTTCAGAGAGAGGAAAGGAGATGGAGAGAGAGAGACAGAAACATCAATGATGAGAGAGTCATTGATCAAGCCCGCAACCAGGCATGTGCCCCGACCGGGAATCGAACCTCGATCGCCTGGATCCTAGGCCGATGCTCAACCGCTGAGCCACGTCCGGCCGGGCTGATCAATTTTCTTAAAGAATCATATTGAATGTGTTTTATAGATGAATCAGAAGAAAAGAAAATGCCTTCTGATATCACTGGTCTTTACTACTATGAACTAAATAAGGGTTTTTTTTTGTTGTCGTTTTTATTTATTTATTTAAAATATATATATATTGATTTCAGAGAGAGGGAGGGAGAAGGAGGGAGATATAGAAACATCACTGATTGGCTGCCTCCTGCTTGTCCTCTACTGGGGATCAAGCCTGCAACCCGGGCATGTGCCCTGACCCAGAATTGAACCTCAATCTCCTGGATCCTAGGTGATGCTCAACCACTGAGCCATGCCCCGGCCAGGTTAAATGAGGTTTTAATAAACAACTAAACATAAATGTTCAGTAGTTATCTTCCAAAGCATTTTGAGTACCCATAGTATTCGTATCTGTTCCATTGATTCGTCAGTCTTGTTGGACGCTAACCATGTGTCAAGCATCAGAAGTATATGGAGATGAGGTAATGATTTCCCATCCTCACACCTAGCAAAAAAGGTGCCACATAGGTCAACAAGCAACAGTACGCAGCGATGAGTTATAACTGGTACACAGGAGGGAGGGACAAGGAGCATCACAGGAGAGTTGGGAACAGCTTCCCAGAGAAGGGGCATTTAAAAAGTCCTTAACAGTGATCTAGAGGAAGCGACTCTGGGGCAGAGAAAGCAGGTGTGGAAGCTCTGGGAAGTGCAGTGGCTGGAGAGCAGGAGGCGGGAAGCACAGTCGCAGGAAACGGAGCTGCGCACGTGAGATGATAATGGCTTTAGAAGTCATGAAAGGCACATGAACTTTATTTTATGGACAATGGAGACAGGATCTATGGTGAAGCTTTTCTTTCCTTAATGTTGGAAGCAATAGTCGTCGTAGCAACTATAATAACAATGCCTTATAGCAAATCCTATAAGGTCCTGTACTAAGCAATTTACATATATTATTAAATTTTCACAATTCTCTGAGGCAGGTACTTCTGTTATCCCCATTTTAAGGACAAGTAAATTGAAGTTCAGAGATTCAGACACCCAAAGTCCCTGGATTATTTCATCAGAGGTGAGATGCAGCTGAGAGGACAAGCACATGCAAGGGTCCGTGACACCCTCAACTCAGCCTCATCATTCAGGAGTTCATGCTGTGGCTTTATTTCTAACTCAGCTGCATTGAATCTCATGTTTGTTCCTTTTACACTTAATACAGATTTTGAAATAATCAATTGCAAAAAAGTACAATATTGACCAATGGCCAGTCCTTTCATCATGAGCACCAGAGCGGCTTCATTGGCTCATCTAACAGTATCATATTCACATTTTGTAATATCTGTGAAAATCAGTGCAGAAGACCGAGGTTAACAATAGCTCTTAAATACACTTCCGGTTGCTGTGCTCATTCAGTGTGCAGAACAGGATGATGTCATCTAGACCAGCTCAGACAGGGACAGGGCAGCTGTGCCATGGGGGGACACCTGTGGCCATTCACTCCCTTTTCCAGGAAGATGAGCTCATTATTGTAGGTGGGATTGCAACAGACACTATGCTGTTTAATCATCTGGTATTACAGGCTGCTTCTGTTCTCTTTACAAATTATTGCCAGTAAATGATGGCACGTGACTAGTAAATTAAGATTACTGTCCTTCCTTTTATTCCCTTTCAGCAATGTTACTTTAAAACTTGCTTTATGAAAGTTAGAAATTACAACCCTATACCCTGGATACCAACTGCCAGGTAAAAGAAAAAAATATTGTCTCAAAGGAACTCAGGGGTAAACCTTTGCCTTTAAATGGCCTGATTGCATTAAGTGGTAAAATAAGATGTAAAATGATCCCACTGAGATGTGACACTGAGGGATCACATTGGTCCTACCTTAGAGCACAGCATTCCTTTCCACTCACTTCAAGAGCGAGGATGACACACCAGGATGTGCTGAATGGACACTCATTAGGGTACAAGTCTTGAAAACAGTAGCTGAAAGCATCTAAAGACTTGAACACAACACTTTTTTGCATGCTCATAAACAATTACACAATATATAACTGTAGAATTACACAGTGGTAATAAAATGAACATGCAAAATTGTAAATTATTTGTATTATAAAATAAACAACGCCCAAACATACAATGTGGAGGCTCAGAGACAAGTGCATGTTTGAGAACTGAAGATGAATGCTTTAAGCACTTATCCTGCTTACTCATCATGAGAGGAGGGAAATCAAATAATTATGAAACTGAGGCAGGGCGACAGGAGTAAGCTCAGACAAGTGCTGGGAGTGGTCAGGGAGCAGGTATGAACTCCCTCTCTTATAAACTCTTTGCAGTCAACAGCATACAAGGTTGGGGAAGATGTTTTGATAGCCAGGAATTTAGATCCCACACCCAAGAGCTTATGTGAACGTGCAAAGAAGAAAAAGGAAGCTTCACTGGGGAAAGCATTCCTTACATGACCAGTGCAAGGACACCTAAAGGCCAACACTAGGTCGTCTGGTAGAGATTCACAGTAGGATATGAACACATCAGTGCCTCAGGATCCTATGTGATGTAAACTCAATGCCTAGAGAAAAGAGAGAGTGGAAAGACCGAAGTGCATACTGAATTGGGCTCAGTTTTCAACTTTTTGATGGTATTCTTCTGGGAGTTAGAACTGGAAGAGTCTTCATAGATTGCCACATCCAAAGATGACAAATACATTTCAACTTGCGTGCCAACTGTGACACTGTACTTGCTGTTTTGGGCTCTGTGTTGGGAAAGAGTCTGGAGCTGTTTTCGGGTTCAGGAGAAAAGAATGCCATGAGTGATTAGCAATGTCAGTCATGGCTTAGAAAGCAGGGAGTGGCGACACATGCACTTTATGTCATCCCAGATGTCACTCCCTTCATTCTGTAGATGGGAAAACTGAAAATCTGAGTCGTGGAGTGACGTCCTGAATTCCGGTCTCTGACTCATAAAAATGTTGTCTTTATCACATTGCCTCTTTGCCTTACTCAGTGCACTGTGTTACTAAATGTTCATTTAAGCTGAATAAACATCAATGTCAGGTAGCTTTGGGAATGATCAAGTCAAGGTTCTCTTTTCTAATGCCACTGCACAACTAATTTGGGAAATACCAAACAATTCACTGCATGAAAATTGTAGGGTATGAAGTTTCTAGAAATGAAAGTGGCATTTCATGATGGCTAACATCCTTCCTAGGCACTCCAGAACTGTCACACACACACTTTCTCACTTTCACTCTAAGGTAGTATCAGACAAATACATTTTATTTGCTCCATAAAAGTGATTGAAATAAAATCCCCAAGTTAAAAAAGCAAATTTCCACCAAGAAAATGGATAGCAGTCATACAATATAACAGTCAAGAGCATGAACTGGATGGAGCTTGACTGGCTCTACTACTTACTAGCTTTCTGGTCCTGGGCAAGTTACTTAATCTTTCTGTACTCAGCCCGAGGTAGAATGGGAAAAATAATAGTCCTTACCTTCTGGGTTGTGAGGATTAGAGGAGCAAGTATATGGAATGTTCTCGGAAACTGCACATTGGCCAATGTCAGTATGATAATATAGCGCCTTTTCCTCAGTGAAGCCTTTCCTGCTCGTGCCAATCCCCTTTCTAAACAAACACAAAACGCTGACTACCCTTTCTTTGAACCCATCACTGTATCTTACAAAACCTGTCACCCCATATCAGCGATTTTCAACCAGTGTGCCACAAGAGGTGCTGCAAGAATTTTTTTTTTAAAATATGTTTTTATTGATTTTAGAGAGATTGTCACATTAAAAAAAATGACAACAGCCAACTCAACAGCAGCCATCTGGCGCGAATGAATAAAAATTATACCTATTTTCTGTTAGGCCGGCAAAAATGTATTTTTTGGTGTGCCGCAGAATTTTAGCAATTAGTTTATGTGTGTCATGAGATGAAAAAGGTTGAAAATCATTGTCCTATATGACCATTATTTGATTACACGCTGAGCTCCCCTACTAGACCAGTGATTTTCACTTCTTTATTGTGATGGTAAGAGAGATATTTTACACTGTTACCCTGTATACAGATACACATATATCCGAAACAAAAGTTCACAGAACAATGCTTACCTATACTATGCATATTGCACTCTAGTATTTTCTTTGACATTTCATTTGGTAAAAACTATAGTTGTGAGGGATTTGGGTTACAAAGATGTATGGACTTTTCAAAACTCAGGAAATGTACTTTAAAGATTCATGCATTTATTATATGTAAATTTTATAAAAAGAAACTAATACTCTAGTTAATGATATAAATGTTGAAGTATTTGAGCAAAGTGTATTGATATCTACACTTTGAAATGCACTAAAAACTAAGATAAATTGATGGATAGAGAGATAGGTGGTTAGATATATGATAAAGTAAGTAGAGTAAAACATTAATAGAAGAATCTAGGTGGTGAGTATATGGAAATTCATTTTGAGATTCATATATATATATATATATATATACACACACACACATACATTAGTGGTCCCTTAAATTGTTAAAAATTTTCTACAGTGTAATCTGGTAGAATGTGACAAAAAAATGATTCTACCTTTTAACTAAAGCGTTTCAGTCCTGGAAATCCATCCTAAGGTGCAGTTAAAAATCCTTATACATGAAAATGTTCACAGCAATATTATAGTAGTAAAAAAATGAAACTAGCTCAGATACTTCAAACTCAGAACTAAGTGTTAAATGAACACTAACTTGATGTGTTTTCATGATTAGATACTCAGACT